CCCCTTGTCGGCTGTCCGCGACTGCTTATTCAATATATTCACAGCTTCCCTCCAAAACTGGAGGGCGTCTCCTCCATCCGCAACCTGAGGACTCGCCATGCCGTAGTGACAGGGACCCACCTAACATGGATACAACATGGTGTAATTCTTTTTAATTCGCATAGTGTGGGGTGGAGTCCAACTGGGTCTACTCGGCACGTCGACCACTGACTGGCCTATTGTACCTGCCCCGGGTCATCATGATGATAGAGAATTTGGTGAACTGAAGATTAGCAGGGGAAACTGACATACTTGTAGAAAACCTGCCTCAGTGCCACTTTGTCCACCACAAATCCCACTTGAGCAGACCCGAGCTTGAACCCGGGCCACTGTGGTGGGAAGGCAGCGACTAACCGCTTGAGTTATGTTGTTAAGCCCAAACTTCGATTTTCGATTCGTAAGTGCGAAAATTCTAAAGGAACCTAAGACTAATGTGCATTAACGTAATACGATCGTAAGTGGGAAAGTCTTCATGTAACCAGCCACTACATATCAGCATAAATTCGGCATACTGTGTGCATGTGAGTAACACAGACGACGTTATGAAACTTTGTTTTAGCAGTCTAACACAGTAAAGCACGTTACACTCACAGAGATCAGTTATGTAATTAAAAAAGTAAACGGCTGTTGTTGAGGGAAATATCCTCGGTAGAGTTTAAGGATCAGTTTGCGAGTGCAAGATAAATGAATAATAATAACTCCGTGGCCTGTAGTAGGCAAGCGAACTATACCGACCGAGCGACCGCCGCTTGTCGGCGAAGTTAGTGCCAACTTTAGCGGATAGAGGGTGTCGCGTGGTCAGCGCAACGAATCACCACGGCAGTTAATTTCGGTTTTCTAGACCGGATTCCTTGTGACACCTAGAGCAAAATTAAGAAGGAAGGAACCAGGGAGATGGAGAACATACCAGGCCAGTGGCCTGATAATCATTTTCCTGCATTATGTTTTCCAGGACCTGAACAGTGTCACTAACCTGGATGTCCAGAGGGGCAAAATCAATTAATACTCGTTAGGTCATAAGAATTTAGAATTACTGTTAAGAGGATGAAGAAAGGTCATGGGCGGTACTTATCTGGGGACGGAGGAAAGTGGCTGAGAGCGGAGGCCTGCTCCGTGACCTTCCCAACCACCCGACAACTTGACAGTGAATGCCGTCAAGTACCAACTGGTTTTTTTCTTCCCCGTGACGAGAATTTTTAATGGCCTCCGAGAAAGAACACGCTTTTCTATACGCTATGTTTATCTCGCCATGACACAAGTATGTGAAACCTGCAACTCGTGGTCCGTATTTAGATTTTACTTTGCTATCCTACTCTACAGTAAACAAGTTACGAAATGCATGCATAGCATAACAGCACTGAATGTTTCCTGTACTACTGAGCCCATTTCAGTATTTTTAATTCGTGTAGGTAAACTACTGCTGGTCTCTTATGAAGGCAAAAGGAAAGCTTGTCCTTCTGCATCACTAAGCACCGAATTAATGGCCGCGCCATAGCTCAAGCGGTTAGTCGCTGGCTTCCCACCGCGGCGGCCCGGGTTCGATCCCGGGTCTGGTCAAGTTGGATTTGTGGTGGACAAAGTGGCGCTGGGGCAGGTTTTCTCCGAGTACTTCGGTTTCCCCTTCCAATCTTCATTCCACCAATTGCTCCACAATCACCCTCACCTACCATCTGGGGCTGGTAAAATAGGCCAGAAGTGGCCGCAGTACAAAGGACTTAGTCCCACCCCACTAGCAATAAAAGAAAAAGCACCCAATTATGAAGAGGTATGGAAGACTGGAGCCGATCACAGTGGCTGCGCGGTCGAAGGGGTGAACCGTCTAAGCCCGCTCGAACACTGAGATCGTGGTTTCGAATCCCACTCGAGACAAGGATGTCGGTATGCGTTTATTCTGTGTTTGTGTTCTGTGCGTAGGTAGTGGCCTTGCGACAGGCTGATCCCCCGACCAAGGAGTCCTACCAACTATGTACACGTCAAGGAACTGAAAAAAGCGCCAAGTTCCAAAGGGCTGTAGGACCATAGAGGGGAAAAAATTGGGAGTGTGGAAATATAGTTACACTCAATTATAATATCGGTAGTAAATGTATGTGCCACAAGAAATGGTTTACTCCTTACAACGTGTAGATTTAATCATACGTCTAGCGTTTTCACTGGAATAACATATTTGTTTTGAAATATTGTCCATCTAAATAATTAATCGAGGTATTATTTATTGCTAGTGGGGTGGGACTAAGTCCCTTGTACTGCGGCCACTTCTGGCCTATTGTACCAGCCCCAGATGATAGGTGAGAGTGATTGTGGAGCAATTGGTGGAATGAAGATTGGCAGGGGAAACCAAAGTACTCGGAAAAAACCTGCCCCAGCGCCACTTTTTTCCACCACAAGTCCCACTTGACTTAGTAATTAGATTTATTGAACACTCTAACTACAATCAATTATAGCGCTCTTACTAATTCAAGCACTCCAATTCTCAATACAGCACACACTAAATCTTCCATGACTTCATTAGCTGGTACATGGTAATAGATCCCAACACTGTCCTCTTCTGCTCACGTTTTTACCGGAAGGTGACTGCCAGTACAGTCCACTAAATTTCTGTTAGTCCTCGCCAGTATAGTCGTTCTTGGTTGCGGGCCCCGCCGAGTCCCATATTTTTGTTCTTTCCAGACTTTTACGTGTTTTGAAATTGGGCCTCTTCTTCGATTAGAAGAGGGTCTGACGACTGCTGGGTCACGCCCCCTCTACTTGGGAGTGACTCTTCTGGCTCTCACTCTCATTCACTCACTCACTCACTTAGTCACTCTCTCATTGAATAACTTGACTCACTCCGCCCTAACTTCGTCACGGACCGCACAGGAAACACCGTTTCCAACAATTCTTCCATTGTAGCGTCAGGTGATCGTTGTTGCAGAAAATTATTTATGAAGCCGTTGCGTAGCAATGGGCTGGACATTGTTACATTTTTGCCAAACTGCTACCAAGCAATGTACAATGATTATGTAGTCTGTTACATAACTTTCATTATGACATTTTACATGTTTGGCTTCGCAGACAGGAAGGAACTATTTGTTTTACCAAGCCAATCTGCACTTGAAGGGACAAGTCTCACTTCAGTTCCTATTAGCGCTTCTAAGTCAACAATATGACTTGTAAAGAAGCTGAAAATAATGCCGGAAATGTGGGTAGGAAGTGTTTCTATGCGAGAATAGCCATGCTGCTGAAGCGCATCTACGCACATCGCTACGAAACTACCAATAATTAGTAAGATACTATTACTACTAACACATTTCGGGTACAGAAGCGTTCATGTCGACAATTCATGATTTTATTTCGGTCTTGTGAGCTAATAAAATCAAACCAAGGCTATCAGGTGCCTCCACATGGAGGGTAATCAATTTTGGTAGCTACTGGATCTCGAAACGTGGAGACTGGAGAGAGGCCCTGGAGCCAGTTATATAACCAATATTCATACAAAGCTAGGAAACTTCAGCAGATGATTTTCAAGCACGGCCAACCTGGTAACGCTGTTTGACGGCCTCATCACAAGCTTAGCACGGTCTCGTTGTTTTATCACTTGGATTAAAAACATTATTCTATTTTATTTATGAAATATATATCTCTTATAATATGGTCTCGGGTTAGATAATTAATGTACAAAGTGGACAGGCAGTGCTTTGAAATTGGAGAACCCTGATTTGAAATGTAGTAGATATTAGTGAAGTCTTTAAAAGCTCGTGGGTTCACCATTTCCTTATTACTAAATTGTAGGGAAATTTGTCTGGTCCGAAGGCCTCGATTGGTATTACACATTTACAGATTTCGTGAACATCGGATCCCTAATTCAGATATCGAAATGTGGGGTCACACACACACAGACATCACTGCAATAACGTAAGTTCGAAATTTGGTTCTAACCTCCAGCAAAACAATCAGCGTCTTCGTTAGAAAAATGCGTTGACTGGTGTTGTCTGGGGCAGAAAAAGCGAAGTTACCTCAGTGCCATGAAAACGTTTAAGCGAGTGAATGTAAGCCTCTTACACTTTCTTAACCTCAGCGGAAGATGGAGGTGAGGTTCATGTTCCTTCACTTTCCCCCAGGGAAAAAGCCCTTAACAATTAAACAGAAGAATGAACAGGAGCCAAGGCCTATCTGCACACAGTGGTACTTAGAAACAATCCGTATACAAAAAAACAAACAAAATCCTGAAGCGAACTATACCGACCGAGCGACCGCCGCTTTTCGGCGAAGTTAGTGCCAACTTTAGCGAATAGAGGTTGTCGCGTGGTCAGCGCAACGGATCCCCACGGCCGTTAATTTCGGTTTTCTAGACCGGAGCCGCTATTTCCCTGAAATATCTCCTCAATTATCCTTACAAGGCTGAGTGAACCCCGTTCCAGACCCACTACATCTCAGAAAATCTGGTAGCGCCGGGAATCGAACACGGACCTCTGAATCTGTAGGCAGAAACTCTGACCACTAGACCACAGAGGTGGTCAAACAATCTGTATACCTGCCGGAAATGGAACACAACCGGAAATCCTTCTGAGAACCTATCGGAACGGCCTGGGAGCGGTGTGTCACGTCTGAGGGACTCGACAGTTGAGCTGAGTGTGGCGGTGAACTTAGAAGCGGCGCCCAGCGTTCATATGTGGTGAAAGAGTGCGTAGTGGCATAGGCAAATTAGTGACTGCAAGGAGAGAATGCTTGAGTGGCGGTGAGTGAAACAGTACTGAACTAAATACACTGACGTCAAGATTTAAGTGGTTACTGGAAACAGCTGCTCCAAAATACGATAAACGACGCATATGTTCGACAGAAAGGGGCGTAATATGAAGTGTTAGATCTCAGGCCGAATGCCACTGGGCAATACCAAATTATTCAGTAGTTTACTCTTCGGACGTGTATACAGTAGTAATAACTATTTAATATGCATGCCACTGATATAGTGACTTGCTTTTCAGATTACCGAACACTGACATTACGACTTCACGTCACTGATAGGCAGTAACAATGCATCGGGCTTCGTCAATTGTGACGACACTCCTGTTAATACTGGTGGGAGGGGCTAGGTTGGACGAGACAATTGACCCAATAGTGACCACACGCCAAGGCAACATGCGAGGTACCACAATGACGTCACGGAACGGGAGGACGTTCCATGCCTTCTTGGGAATCCCCTATGCAGCACCTCCTGTTGGTGCGCTCAGATTTAAGGTGAGTCTTCTGCAACGAGCTTTAATTATCTTGTGCTCAAGCCCAGATGAGATTACAATATTAAAAAGGTTACTTGTAAAATTGTGTGGGGAAGTTAACCCCTGAAAGCACAGTGTTAGCTATCACCGCCGCTGTAACAGTGAAAAATATTTTTGCTACACACTGTACTTACGTATTGCGTATTGGCAATAAACAGTCATTGCTTCTCTAACAGTATTAACCATTGGTCTTTATATGGGAGAGGTCGTGTGTTTTCTTTGACCAAGCTTTTCCGTGGTTTTCCTCGGTCTTAGATCAAATGCTGAGTTGGTACCCAAATTCCACGCTGCACTGCATGCCTAACATGCAGCCTTCCCATTGGTAACATCAAAATTTCGCCCTGATATAGCCCTCCCAACGCTAGCAAAAAGAAATTACTATAATGCATCTCTTCCAGCGTCACAAAAATATATAATATTGTTAATGTTGTATTTTAGCGTCCTGTTGCACTGATCTTCGTCCATGATATGTAAGCAATGTCCGTCTTTTAGTGCACTCAATTTTACTTGTTACTTCACAACATGTTTCGACACTACAGTGCCATCATCAGGTGCTCTATTTACGTCAATCTATTTCATTGCTTCCCATTACGTCATTGTAAAATTTAAAAAAGTATTTAAAAATGTTCGTTAATTATAATAAAGATATATACTAAAAACTTGTTAAGATTATTTATCTTATCTGTCACAATTCTAACACCACGCATAGTTTCACCACTATGGGAGTCGTTCCTCTTATTCTTAGAGTATATCGTGTCTCGTGTTGCGTGTTCCCTGTTTGGTTGCGGGTGTTGTAATATATATAATATATAAACGATTATATGCTCTACCTATAACAGAAGGACAAGCGGGCACTGTCTGGGAACCTTCAAAATCGGAGACATAGTTCCTTATCCACCCCAATGTTGTGTCTCTCACTACCACCCCCACTTCTTCTTTTCTTTGAGGTATGAACTGGATTTTTAGATGCGTTTGCAACACGAGGGACTTCTATGGAATACGCTTAGTCCATACATCTAGCCATGTGTAAGCATGAAACAACTCAACCGAACGGTGGATTTTCATGAAATTTCATACTGCGAGTGATTGTCGATCCACGTCAATTTTTATCTCGATCGGACGATAATTTACGTGAAAACTTTCATGCGTTTCTGCAGGAATGCCGAGAGTATTTTTGTATTGCTAGTGGGGTGGGACTAAGTGCCTTACACTGTGGCCACTTCTGGTCTATTGTACCAGCCCCAGATGATAGGTGAGGGTGATTGTGGAGCAATTGGTGGAATGAAGATTGGCAGGGGAAACCGAAGTACTCGGAGAAAACCTGCCCCAGCGCCACTTTGTCCACCACAAATCCCACTTGACCAGACCCGGGATCGAACCCGGGGCGCCGCGGTGGGAAGCCAGCGACTAACCGCTTGAGCTATGGAGCGGCCATCCCGAGAGTAACTCGCTAAATATTTATCGGAGTAAAAAAAAAAAAGATTTCGAACAGAAGTTGCAGAGAAAGATAAAGTACATTTTATGTCAAGTACATTTTTTTCGTAAGTCTCACGGCCATCGAGATACTGGCAATTAAACTGAAATGAGGCTACCCATACATTTACGAAGTTATGTCTTCAGCAGTAATTCTGAATGGTCTCAAGAACATTAAGAAAATAAATGTGAACATTGAATAATGCCGTCTTCTGGGATATGGCGCCGCGTAGACATTGTGTTAACCGACGATTCGGAGGAATGTATCGCCTCCATCTTCAGGGTATAAGAAATCCGCTAGTGATGAAACCAGCGTGAGCAGGTGGTTGCTTACTCGCTCGTGGATTTCTTATACCCTGATGACGAATGCGATACGTTCTTCCGAAACGTCGGTTAACACAATGTCTACACGGTACCACATCCCAGAAGACGGCATTCTTCATAGGCACCGCCGTGAAAACCTCAAATCTTAGAAAATACGAACATTGTTTCTTCATTCTTTTATTGAAATGCTACTGGTATTTTACAATTCAACTTCGAAGCCGGCTTTTTTACGATTGTTAAAATTTATAAATATTTAATTTTCTTTTCGTGTGTTTAATAACAGTAAATTTATTGTTTATTCATTCAGTATCATTCATCTTTTGAATAAGTACTAACACTGAACAGTTTCACTTGAATTAATTTTTTCTTTATCATAACACAGGCCTACAAAAAAAAATTTTTTTTTTGGTGTCTAGGATTTTAGAACTAATTTTAGTTATATTTAAGGCGCTGAATCTAAATATAAAATCAGTTTTTCTCTACCAGCTCTACTTTTTTAGATCAGCGTTTTTGTAACGTGCAGTTCTACACAAAATGTGCAGTTCTAATTGTATTTTGTGCAGTTCTAAATCTCATATGCAAGGATTGGTTCCTGTATATTTGCCCTATTGTCAGTCTGCTGTCCACTGANAGAACGCACCTGTTTAGGTGGGAAGAGAATATTAAAATGGATCTTAGATAGATGAGGTGATACTAACTGGGTTGATCTCGCTGTGGTTAGCGACGAGTGAAGAGCCCTCGTGAACACGGTAATGAACTTTCAGGTACTATAAAATGTTGGGAATTTCTTGAGTAGCTGAGCGACTGGCAGCTTCTCAAGGACTCAGCTCCATGAAGTGTATACTTTTACAATCTTGTACACACTACTTAGACTCCGGCTCACAACTCCGAATTCTCTCTGTGCGCAGGCGCCGTGGCCACCCCACCCTTGGGGCGACACTCTAAATGCGACGCAGGATGGGCCGATGTGCATGCAGAAGGACTATCTGGACCCGAACCCGCGAGTGCAGGGGCAAGAAGACTGCCTGTACCTTAACGTGTATACGCCTTACGTAAGTGGTGGACGCCTGCGTGCTAGTTGGGCCAGTGAAGGTATCTGTAAAACTTGTCCCTAATTAAGCACTACGCCATGAAGGCGTACGGGGGAGTGGACGTATAGATCCACATTTTCTTGACTTCGGCGCTAGCACATTCCAAATATTACAACCAGACACAGAAGACGTAAACTGTACTGTAGATCAGTCAGCACAGTACCCACACTGCGGGTTGGATGACCGAGGTTCGATTCCCAACCAAGCAGAAATGTTTTCTTTTCTATAGTGCCTAGACCGGCTCTGGGGTCTACCCACTCTTCCATTAACGGGTACAGGGGACACTGAACCCGGTAGTAAGGCGGTCGGGTCCTGAGGCTGACCACTTTCATGCCGATATTAAAAATATGTGGATCTGTACCTAAATTTACGAGAATTTACGAATTTAATGGCCAAATAAGCTTTTCTGTACCTTTCGGTGTCTGTTAGTCCTACTGATGACAATAAAAGTACCTGCTTATCCCACATACCTGTATCGAATACTACCTTAAGGCTGTGGGCGCTCAAATCACTTCACTTCCCTGTTCTTGTACAGTTCCGACCTGACACACTTGTTACAGCTGAGGCCCAAGGAGCCCCTGGATGTGATGGTTAACATTCATGGCGGAGGTTTCTTCTCCGGAACAGGGGCCAGCTACTTGTGGGGACCACAGTACCTTCTGGACAAGGATATCGTGCTGGTTACGTTCAACTACCGCTTGGGGGTGCTAGGTCAGTCAACATCTTTACATGCCTAGGGTTCCCATGGGGTATCCTATTGAAGTTTCCCAATCAAAACTTGGAATTCATTTTTAGCCTCCTTTCCATTCTTAAGAAAAGAAACGAGGTCTATGAGATCACAATGGCTGTGCCCTATATTTCAAATTTGGAACCAAATGACCGATTTTTATGAAACTTCGCATGAACATTACGCCAATGGGAGGCCACCCCAGTCAGTAAGAGCAGTATGACTAGGGTGAGAATTTGTGAGATGCGAACGACATCGGCGGTTCCTCATTTGCTGTCTGTACTCGTGTATGATGACCTCAGAGCAGGCTCAACTGTGTTATAAAGCAGAAGACCACAATAAGAACTCAGTAGCCCCCTCAGTACCAAATTTCACGTACGTGTGTTGACTATGTTTGGCGATGTATGTGCTGAAGGGTAGACTTCTGCAAGATAAAAAGTTATTTGGATAAGTTATCAGATTGTAGTCTTCTGGCTTCTTGTGATACCATATAGTTTTCTAGGCGGATACCGACGTTTCGGAGGAACTCGCAATCTCAATCGTCAGTGTTGAAGAGTGTATGAAAAAGAAATTGGTTCGGTTATAGTACGCAGATACGTCACATGGGGGGAAGAACTGGAGCCCTATCCGGGCTATACAATATAACCGATTCCTCGCCCTACACATCCTGAAGATGGAGACAGAATTTTGCTCCGAAAAATAAGAATTTGCATACATGACTACACAGTGTCACGTCAACTGTTTCCGTGAAAACCTTAAACTTCTTATAGCCGTTTGGGTGGGCAGCCGAACGGTTGAACGTCAACAGTTCAGCAGCTGCCGTTAACTTTAGCTCCGAATTCTGAGTCGCCCCTGGTGATAGCTCACGTTACATGGGTTGTTCGTTTGGCAGACCGAACGAGTAGTATCCGGTAGGGACAGTAAGAATTTGTTCTGTCAGCTTCAGAGTGCACGATGTGGCATATCTCCCTTGTCGATAATCAAAAGAAATAACACACATGTTAATTACTCTAATTAACTGTTGCACTTTATAGTAGGCTAATTATAATAATGGATTACATTTCATATATCGGGATAGCCGGCATGTACTGTCTTCGCTCGCTTGGAAAGCGGGATCGTAGGTTCGAATCCCACTCAGGGCATGGATGTTTAGTTTGTGTGTGTGCGTTTTTCTGTGTTTGTGTACATGTAGAGGCCTTGCGACGAGCTGATCACTCGCCCAAGGAGTCCTACCGAATGTGTAAGATCTAGAAAAACCGAAGTGAACGGAGAAGTTCATGGAGGTAGTTCTAGGCCCACTGGGGCTGTAGTGCCAAGGAAAAAAAAATATCGGGATAGCCAGGGTCAGAATGGATCAAACAATCCAATAATAATGACCAGAAATGGCAACAAAACTTCATTCGCCGTTACTGCATAATGAAAAACATTGCTGTGTTCACAATTTTATCAACATTATCTGGTACCGCATATTTCTGAAAAATTTTCCAAGGCTGGCAACACCGAAGTATAACTTCTTACTACAGATTTCATGAATTTTTTGCAGGGTTTCTGAGCACTGGGGACAACGCCGCTCCGGGAAACTTTGGTCTGAAAGATCAGGTAGCCGCTCTGAAATGGGTTCAGAAAAACATCGCAGCGCTGGGCGGGAACCCCAATAGTGTTACTATTTTCGGGCAGAGTGCAGGTGGCGCCAGCGTCCATTTGCAGATGCTGTCGCCCCTCAGCGCAGGTACGACAATAATCTCTGCATTGGTAATTAATTATGCCACAAGTACAGCACGCCACTGATCCCATCATTGCTAATCTACTGAGCCATTCGTGCAGCATGCTATTTAGTTCACAATTGACAGTAGCAGCTAGACCCCTCCAATTGCCGAAGAGATGAAGGCCCCATTTTAAAACAGGTACGTGGTCTTGACACACACAAAAATATGGTCATCTGTTCTGATTGGGGCTGACATCACGAATGGCCGTGCTGGCGAAGGCTAACAGGAAATTACTGCTTTGCTCACAAATGTTGGACCATAAGCCATGAGAACAGCACGCCACTGATAACACAATTTTTAGAGTATTGAACAAAAAAATACAGTACGCCGATGATATCATCTTGTTATCCTACTGATTTTAAAGTCCATTACGCCAATGTTCTCGTTATTGATGCTGTACTGAACAGCGAGGACAGCACGCCACTGATTCGAACACCGTTAGCTTGCATAATACTTACTTACTCATGGAGCTGAGCCCTTCTGGAGGAGCCGCCAATTCTGCAGCTACTCAAGAATTTCCAAGCATTTTATGGAACCCGAAGGTTCATTACCGTGTTCACAAGAGCCCTCCACTGGTCCCTATCCTGAGCCAGATCTATCCAATCCATACCATACCATCCCATCCTATCTCTCTAAGATCCATTCGAACATTGTCCACCCACCTACGCCTTGGTCTTCCTTGTGGTCTCTCTCCTTCTGACGTTCCCACCAATATCCTATACGCATTCCTCGTCTCCCCCATTCGTGCTACATGACCTGCCCACCTCATCCTCCTTTTAGCTTGCATAATATGGGTGGTCAAACTTACAGAACATCGGATCAGCGTACGATGATTTTCAGAATTTAAAAAGCAGCGAACAAATGTGGATTCGATGATACAGATGTTTTAGGCACATGATTTCCTTGCGACTGAGTTTCTAAATTTAATTCATTGCTAGAAAAAGTATTCAGTAATATTTCTTCCGCGAGCCAGACTCACAATTCCTAAGGACCATACACGATTTGCGAGCCTCAGTTTGGCAACGTCTGTTGTGTAAAGTTGTAGACACTCGACCGATCTCAACTTCGTTAACCAACTGAACCGCACGCCACTGATATTCTTCCTTATGGCAGGTCTCTTCCATCGAGCCATTTCTCAGAGCGGGACTGCACTGAACGCCTGGGCCTGGCCCACAGACTCCCTCTTCCTCGCGCGACGACAGGCAACATATGCAGGATGTGACCCCGACGACGACACAGCAGGCATAGTGAAGTGCCTGAGGAAAGTTGACGGTGAGAAGCTCGTCGATTCTGGCGACAACTTCAAGGTAAGATCGCCTATTGAAGCACGGAAAATTAACGCCTGTATTTGGGTTTCCGTCACGGATATTTGAATGTTTTGACTTTCTTGTACGAGAGCTGAGGTCTTCACGGCGGTAAAAGTTCTGATAGCATCTTCTGGGTTGTTATCGCTATCAGACCACACAATGCCCTAACTTGAAAGGCTCAGTCGGTAAAGCGACGGGTTATGGGCTCGACGGCTGGTCTTCGGTTCCTGGGAGAAGCAGGATTCTTCTCCAAAACCGTAGCGTCCAGACAGTACCTGGGGTCCACCAATCCAATTGGTACAGGATGCTGTCTCCCCCAGAGATAAGGCAGTAGAAGCGTGAAGCTGAACACTCAACTGCAACTAGTAGCGAGATCAAGATTGGTGAAGCTGTACATCCTATCCTCCATACGTCTTCATGGCTTGGCGATGAATGAATTAAGCATGGAGAAAACTTCTTTATGACACTGGTCGTTTCTTAACTCAATGACACTTTCTAATGGAACCAACAAAGTAGGCATCTCCGACAATCTCACCTGAAAACGGAAACAGATCCAGTTTCCGAAAACTTATATTCTTTAGAATACTTGACGATGGACAAAATCCAAAACCCCAGCAATTCCGGGTGTTAAGTAACGTCCTCACAACCCTTTAGAATCTATTAATAATCTGAGCATCCTGATTACAGTTCTGGTCAATTGACCCTCTCGACGTGTTCGGGCCGGTTGTGGAGGAAGGCGCAGGCGCGTTTCTGACGGCGAACCCTTTCTACATAATCCAGAGCGGGCACTACAACCACGTGCCCTGGATGGCGGGTGTGGTAACCGACGAGGGAATCGTCCGTGGTGCGGGTGTGTACCGTGAGACATGCATGAACATGCACTGTTTGACAGAAACTTTTAAGATGGATAATCGATAAGGTCACAAAACGGGGCTGAACAAGATTTCATTGCTATTACACATCTTCTGAACGTGCAAACATATGAAGATCTCAGTTTTACTTGATCTTACAGTTCAAGTGTCTCAGTTCCACCTGATCCTATACTAGAATTATCTCAATTGACGTTATACTACAGTCTACGTGCTTCAGTTCCACCTGATCCTATACTCGATTTATCTCAGTTGACGTTATCCTACAGTACATGTGCTTCAGTCCCACCAGATCCTATACTAGAATTATCTCAATTGAAGTTATCCTACAGTCTACGTGCTTCAGTTCCACCACATTCTATACTAGAATTATCTCAGTTCACGTTATTCTACAGCCCACGTGCTTCAGTTCCACCTGATCCTATACTCGAATTATCTCAGTTGACGTTATCCTACAGTCTACGTGCTTCAGTTCCACCTGATCCTATACTCGAATTATCTCAGTTGACGTTATCCTACAGTCTACGTGCTTCAGATCCACCTGATCCTATACTCGAACTATCTCAGTTGACGTTATCCTACAGTCTACGTGCTTCAGTTCCACCAGATCCTATACTAGAATTATCTCAGTTGACGTTATCCTACAGTCTACTTACTTCAGATCCATCTGATCCTATACTCGAACTATCTCAGTTGACGTTATCCTACAGTCTACGTGCTTCAGTTCCACCAGATCCTATACTAGAATTATCTCAGTTGACGTTATCCTACAGTCTACTTGCTTCAGATCCACCTGATCCTATACTCGAACTATCTCAGTTGACGTTATCCTACAGTCTACGTGCTTCAGATCCACCTGATCCTATACTCGAACTAT